TATCTCATTTTACTGGGAAAGTTAGTGCAGTATCGCAAACCAAACCCAATTTGATCAAAAAAACTATAAAATTTTTTTTTCAATTGATATCAATGTCTATACACGCATTTTTGTGATTTTTGTATTTGTTCGGCTTTGGGAGTTTAATAGCCTATTACTGGGTATGCCGTTGTGGCTTCGCCTCAAGCAGTTGTCAATAAACTGTTTCTACGTTTCAACAAAGGCAAGGACCCCAATGAGCGTTTTGACAGAATTAATAGATTTTGACAGAATTGATAGATAAAAATGTCTCTGATAGTTTCTGCATTTTTTCTATTAACTTCCGAACCGAATTCATACGAGAAACCGCAAGTGGGAAGAGAGGCATAAATGGCGCTAAGCAAGTAATTCAGATAATGAACTCTTTAGGCAGTTAATATTATATTTACTATATCAGTTTAATATTTAATTTCTAAAAATAGTTAAGATACATTTCTTCTTCTTCTTCTTCTTCTTCTTCTTCTTCTTCTTCTTCTTCTTCTTCTTCTTCTATGTGCCGTGTTCATTCAGGACGATGACAATCATGGCTTCCCATAATTTCCAGTCCTTTCTTGCTCTAAATAAATTTTACCTTTTCGTAATCTCTCCCAAACCTTGTTCTGCCATTCATTTATTCAAGCTCACTAAGTTATGCATTGCTTTCCTCTGTTCCTCTTGCCTTCTATCTGCCCCGTGAGTATCAGATTTTCCAAGCCCACTTTCCTCATTATGTGTCCTAGAAATTTCAACTGTCTCTTTCTCGTGTTGATTATAAGTGGCCTTTTTGTTTCCATTTTGTCTAGAACTTTTCCATTGCTCACATGTTCAGTCCATGGTATTCTCAGCATCCTTCTGTAGAAGCACATTTCTGTTAATTCAAGTCCCTTCCTTGTGACGATATTGTCCAGGATTCGCTACCATATAAGACTGACGTATGACGATAAACTACATCTGCGTCCTGGGGTAAGACGATAAACTACGTCCAACAGCAAGGCCTCTGATCAGGAGGTTTTGTGGAGCGTGGAACGACCTCTTAATTGCTGGCGTTCCCAGGTCTACCCTGACCCGGGGTGGTAGCACCTGTTAGGGGTCCCAGCTACGGGCAAATATTTAACCCCCAAACTAGGGTCAAAGCCCTATGAAAGTATAAAAATAGGTTTCAATACCAGAAATACTTAGTAAAAAAATATTGGCAGCAATATTTCTTTTGAAAAAAAAAAAGATATTAGCAGCAATACATTTTTTGATATATATATATATATATATATATATATATATATATATATATATAATATAAAAATTTTGTCGGCATTAAATAACCCATTGAGGTTGATATGCCGCAAAACAAAACAAACCAAACCAAACAATATAGGAGGACTGATATTACGTAACAGTTAAGTATTCTTTTCTTTGTTTCTAATGAAATTATTCTGTTTCTTAATACTTTGCTTAACTTTTGGAAGGCATCTTTCACTTACCAATGTACTATCGGATTTCAGTGTCGCACCTTCCGTCCTCTGTTAAAACACTTCCCAGATACTTAAATTGTTGTACGTGATTGTTTTTGGTAGCATCACTTCATTATTATAATATATTTAAGAAAAAATTTCTTGGATAAAATTAATTTATTTAACGGAATATGAAATATGATATTTATATAAATATCATGGTCAGGTTTAAGTTAGGACCACACAAAACGTCTGTGCGTCGAAAGGACGTTTTTTCTCTTAACACCGTTATTACAGTATATTCCGTCAGTAAATTTTATTGTTTTAACCAAATATTTTCAGATGTTTAATAAAAACATAGCCTATGAAACTGAATTTATAAATTCGAGTATTTACAACAAAATGTTACATCCTATGAATTTATTTAATTGTTTATTTAGAAGATGTGAAAACAATAGCAATATCTCTAACAAGAGTATAGAGTTTTAATTTGTGAACTATAAAACTAAATGATTAACTTACAAGATTAAAGAGTACTGAACTTTTATGTAATGTCAGACGTCTTATATGGTAGTGAATGCTGAAACATCAGATGAAGAGGAAACGAAGTTACAGAAATGTGTTTCTACAGAAGGATGCTGAGAAAACCATGGAATGAAACTGTGTAACGATGATGCTTTAGAGAAAATTGAAACAAAAAGGACGCTCATACTTAGCACAAGAAAGAGACAGTTAAAATTTCTAGGGCACTTAATGAGGAAAGTAGACTTGGAGAATTTGACACTCGTAAGATATATTGAATGTAAGAGGTACAGAGGAAAGTAGCGTATAACCTAACGACCATGTGTAACTGGTTTGCAGGACAGGGATTAGGAGAGATAGGAAAAAGGCAAAATTTACTAAGAGCTACAAAGGAGAGGAAATTGTGGAGAGCTATGACCCCCATATTCCGAAGTGACACGGCCTACAGAAAAGAAGAAGCTTGTTTACAGTATAATTTTACATTTACAAGATTATAAAAATATGCGAACACATGAGTTTTGATTTCGTTTTCTACGGCTTATCAACCCCTTGCAGGTTATTTAAAGTTAGAAAATATTAAAAGATTCTTTTTTAGATAATAAGGATTTAGTGATACAAGTTTTATTAATTAACCCATAGCAAGAGGGAGAAGAGGTGGATTTATACCTTTCCCAAGGGTATTTGCGCGTAAGTGAATATAATGCACCTATCTGGAATTGGGACTCGGCTCTCCGATTAACAATTCAGAGCCATTATTCATTACATAACCCGCACATCCAAGTTTACAGTATCTGGTTTTCCCAAGTGGTTACCCATCTAGGTATTGACAAGGCTCGACGTTGCGTTACTTCGGTGATCGTACCAGAACCGGAAATACACGAGAATGAAAGATGTGTCAGTTGCCATATTATAAAGTTGCTTATATAGCTTTTCGGGAAAATAAGAATAATAGAAAGGTGTATACAGTAATATTGATTCAAGAGAAAAAAGTTGTTTTTTTAACTGGCCCTAAGCTAAACTTTGCCAATATTATATACACATAAAAATATATCTGTTGCTTATTAGACTCCAAATTTCATTTTGTTTAGGACGTTAAAAAGGTCACCTTGGCAGAAGAAACAATCATTAGATGGTTAGTTTGCATGATCAGCGATGCACTCTGTAGCTGAGTTGGTGTAAGTGTGTCAGATCTTACGGCTGTTTCTCCTGCCGGGGTTGGGGGAGCACTCGGGTTCGAATCTTGCCGGAGAGCGTATATTTTTCTTTAAGATTTCTCAAATATTCAAATCGGTAGACGAAAATAAATAAATATAGTGTTTAATAAATAAACAGAGCAATTACTCAAATATGAGTATCAACTAAAAATAACGTTTAAGTCATAAAATCTGTCGGATTAATAAATCAAAAAATCCATTACTTTTTTTTAGAAATTACTTTGTTTACGTTAAGATACGAAACTAAGTAGATATGAATGTTTCGAGAGTCGGATAGAGATTTGCGTTTATAAGGTACTATTCAAGTTTGCTTGAGCGGCGACGACCTTCGTGGCTGAGTCAGTATAAGCACGGCGGATCTAACAAGGGTTTCTCCTAATAAGGATGACCCATATTCGAATCTTGCCGGAGAACGCATATTTTTTATTTAATAAGATTTATCGAATATCTAGGCCGGTAGACTAAAATAAATATGCTGTTTAATAAATAAACAGAGCATCTACTCAAATGCATATACACTAAAAATAACGTTTAATTAATAAAATACACACACACGTGTGTGTGTGGATAAAAGGAGAGCATTTTGCGATCAAACATTTATAAGCAACCGTATATTTCTGTATCCATGCACAAAGACTATCGCAGACATTTGCACACAGAGATAGTAATTTTATGGACAAAAGTAGATTTGGCGCAAAGCTATATTGCAATTGCATTGGCTTAGAAACGTTAAAAAGAATCTCACGATGATACATAAATGGCTGCTTTGAATATGCAATTCATTTGAATATGACTTGATGACACTAGACCTGTGCACAATATTCAGGAATATATCTTCATATTTCCGGATATTTCATTTTGAATATTTTTTTTAATGTTAGGCTGGTTTGTTTCATTTTTTTTTATTTTAGAATTCATTGTACACTAATCGTTCGAAATAACTATTATTGTGCACAACGAACTATAAGATATTTTCTCTTAGAGGAATTTTGAAATTTTGTTATCGTTTAACTTCTTTCTCCAGGTCACCATTAATTAAGATAAGATATCAATATAGAAACCTTATCAAGAGAAAATAAAAAACGTAGCTGCATCGAGCTTATCTGAAAGGAAAAAATGTGGAGAGAAAAACTATGAAGAAGCATGTGTTGCAGGAAAGGTGCGCCAGTAGAATTTAAAATAAAATATGTATTTTGGATGTGTTAGTAGCGTAACGACTATCGGAAGGCGGTATCAGCGTGCCATTTCCAAATTTTGATCGGGTTAGTTTCATTCTTATATCATTAATGATCTTAGAATAGACATGAATCTATTTTCCTCCAGCTACGGGTTAAATAGTTCAGTACTTTAGCCTTAGCAGGACGACTCGTCTAGGAGGAGGAAAACTCTGAATTCAAAACCAGTCAGAACAGGGGTTGGCTGCGTCAAGCTATTTTTTCTTATTCTTACTTACTGTTGCTATATGTGGTACCATTACGGCGACAATCGTTTATAGAATTCGTTTTTGATGCTAGTGATGCCTAAAAGGAAAAAGAGGATGAAAACAAATTCCGCAGAAAAAAAAAAGAATGGCTTTAAAAAAAGAATAAAGTTAAATTTGAAGGAAAGACATTGTGAGCGGCTATTTCCAGAATAAGATTAAAAAAAAGTCAGTAAGATGAAAGGAGAAAGAGTATAGAAAGAAGAAGAAGAAAAAAAAATGAAACTACTAAAGAGAATATGAGAGAGGAAATGATATATAATAAGTGGGGAAGACAGAGAGAATTTGAAATAATAACGGAAAGAGAGTGGTATTGATTTAAGGAGGGAAAATAAGAATGGTTACAGAGTAAGAGATGGAAACCGGAGAAGTAGGGGAAAAGAGAGAGAGAGAGAGTAATAGAGAGAGAGAGAGAGAGTAATAGAGAGAGTGGAAGAGGGAGAGAGAGAGAGAGAGTTTAAAGAGTAGTAAATTAGTACTTTTAACGAGATGTATGAGGAAGAGATGAGAGAAGAAATGAGGCATCTGACCGACACACACACATACACACACACACACACACACACACACAAGCACAAACACACACACAGAAAGTAAAAAGAGAGAAAGAGAGTTTTAAAGAGAAGTAAACGAGTAGATTTAAAGAGAATTATAAGGAAGCAGCAGACCGACACACACGCACACACATACACACGCGTGTGCGCACACACTGAGAGAGAGAGAGAGAGAGAGAGAAAAAGAGAGATATAGATAGAGAGAGAGAGACAGATTGAAGACAGGGGAAAGGAAACAGGAGTATGTAGTGAGAGAGAAAGTGAAATGTAGATACCAAAAGAAAGAATTTACAAAGTTGAATCAATAAGTCTGTAGACTAATATAAAGTTGAAATTTAATTTGAGATTCTTTATTTTTAAGGCTCAATCTAAGTGATTATTAATTCACTTCTGATTTGACAAAGAAGATTAGGTTGAAAAATATTTTTTGTGAAAAATAAATGCCTTTTTCATAATTATTCCGTGGACTTTCTATATATATATATATATATATATATATATATATATATATATATATATATATATATATATATATTATTTGTGTGTGTGTGCACAAGAACATAAAGAGAAGTTGAAATAAAGTGGGATGTAATGGGCAGGCAGCGAAGACGAGAGAAGGAGAACGACTGAATAAGTCTGTATGCGTATAAGAAATGAAGGCCAGATGAATATAAACGAAAAAAGAAGATAGATAGATAGATAGATAGATAGATAGATACAGGAGGAGGAGGAAGAGAAAGAGAAAGAGGAGAGAGAGAGAGAGAGAGAGAGAGAGATTTAGAGGGCGATAGAGAATGAGTAAAATAGCGAGACTAAAGACAAAATTGAAAATAAAAAAAAGAATCCGATGAAAATTTCTTTCTTTCTTTTTATGTGACATGTCTTTTCAGGAACTTAACTTTTCATGTAAGCAATATCTTGCCTTTGGCAGATTCGAAGTGAATTCATGACTCTTGCAAGAATAATCATGACAACTTTACTTTTCTCTGTTATTAGGAAGAGTATTCGGTTTGTTTGAAAAAGCATTCAGTGTTTATTTGTCATCTTCTTTGCCCGGGAAGCTTTTTATATTAATTAAAACATTTAATTTACCGCCAAATGTCACTTGAAGTGAATTTTATATTAAAGCTTCACGCACAAAGGATTCAACATCATCCCCAAATGATATATACACTACAGGCAAGAACTGGGCACCTCGAGGTTGTGTAATGGTAAGCAAGCTTGTCTCACTATTACGACTGAGTAGTCAGTTCGATCCTCACTGGGTACTCCATAGTTTCGGCCTTGTGTCACATCTGAGCTACGCTTGGAAAATCGCTACACTACAGGCAAGAATTTTGGGTACACCCAGAGTTTGTAAATTAAAAAGAAAACGCCTTAAAATGAAATAATTTTGTATTTGAAGTAAAAAAATAAACTTTCAACAAGTACAGAGTATTTGCTTTTATTTTAAGCCCATAACTATAAAAACAGCAACATATTTTCTTCGTCAATAAAACCACCACCTTCCTTAATTAATGTTTTATAAATTATTAGCATTCTTTCCAACAGATTTTGAAAAAAAAGTAGATGGCAGACGTCTCCAAGCATTCTTCAAACACTGAAAACGCAAACTCTAACTTTTGGGGTATTCTCCTTGAACTCTCCTATCCAATTCACCCCATTCAATGAGAGATATGTCAGGAGATTGAGGCGGCTAAGTCATAATTTCAAAAAATTTGTTCCTGTTTTTGACATGAGGCTATTTTGACATTATTTAGAAGTGTTTTTGGAGCGTTGTCTTGTTGAAAGGTATTTTTTTCCAATAATGCGTAAACCAGATGGTATGACATGTCTTTACAAAATCGAATGATACTGTTCTTTTTTTTTTTTCATGATTCCCTTGACATGAATCAAATCTACAGCCCTTTTGGTAATCTGAAAAAGGCTAAGGGGTTAATGGTGAAACAAAATATAATATTTCTCATATATAAAATATTCACAATTTAGCAAAATCTATTGTGGACAGACGAATTCAAATTTGAACTTTTTAGTAGTAAGAGAAGCTTGGAGAAAGACTGAAAAATACACTGTAGTTACTGAAATTTTATCTTTTAATTTAAAAAATATTTCGTTTTAAAGTGTTTTTTTTTTTTTTAAAGAAATACAGGGTATCCCCAAATTTTTTCCCTGTAGTGTATAATATGGTGCGTGTTTTTATCTTTGAAATTGATATTTCCAAATTATATCATTGAATGTCTTGTCACTTAAGTGCAGTGTTGATGAGTTGTCTCGATGAAGGATTTACAATACTAAAGAAAAGCCGGAATCCACGAAGATTAACTAGAAAGCTAGAATATGGCACAAACAAAAAGATTATCTCTTTGTAATCTGCATCCAAAATCTGTACGAATCCTATAAAATAAAGCCAACTATAGCATAAAGCCTGATTAATGGAGCACTCATCCTGAACAGCAGGCAAAACGAGCACGCGAAATATTTTTGTACTGTATCGTAATTAGGAAACAAAAATTATGGCGTGTGGGATACGGGGGCATGTATGTCATTTTAATTTTATGAAATGTGTCAGCTTTGACACGTTTCTTTTGGTTGGAGGAAGCATAAAGAAAAAGAGAGTATCAACTAGAGACGAAAAAGGAACGAAAGACGATAAAGAAAATGATTGGCAGAAGGCAAAATGATAATAAAGTGAGCAAGGCTGGTCGATGAAGAGATAAAGAGACAAATCAGAGTGAAGAGAAAAAGGATCGTGATGAAAATAAAGAGAAAACGTATGAAGAAAGTGAAACAAAAAAATTGATCAGGAAGAAACAGATAAGGCAAACCAAAACAGATTGAAAGAGAATTGAAATGACAAGAAAGCGAAGACAAAGAAAGAAAAATATAGAGAAAGGAAAGGAAAAGCTGGACAACATATGAAGAGATGGAAAAAATTAGGTCGAAGTGTATAATGAAAAAGTAACTAAAGTACCTTTTCTATAAATAATTTCATGGTAAATATAATATTTCTCATACAAAATATTCACAATTTAGCAAAATCTATTGTGGACAGACGAATTGAAATTTGAACTTTTTAGTAGTAAGAGAAGCTCGGAGAAAGACTGAAAAATACACTGTACACGATTGGGAATGCTGCCATAATCCTTGCTTACAGTTCATTTTTGGTGTTACAAGGAGTTATGTTGGTCTCTCACTCAACTGCGCACCACACATAATAATCAAGAGGGTTGCAGTCTGGGGAGTTAGATGCCCAGAAGTAATGGGTGATGTGGTCGCAGAAATTGTCTGACAGCCATGACTGGGTTCTTCTGCTTGTGTAGAAGGGTGTAGAGTCCTGCTGACAGACATAGGGCCTTTTAGCAGACACCCTCTTGACTCGGGGCAGCACTACCACCTGCAGGTACTTGATGTAAGCCTCCGTGTTGAATCTGAAGCCCGGTGAGAAGATGAATGGAGGCATGAACTTTCCTCTATGGTGCTACTCATTGGCGCTAGTTTTTAAAATTGTTGTTTTATTCCCCTCCCCCCCCACAGACAATGAATTTTAAATATGGGGACTAGTTAGTATTTTCATAGAGACAATGATGTATTATGGTGGTTGTAGTAAGAAAGGTACGTATGAATGTGTTGTTTTGGTGTAAGGAATATTGTTCGTACGATTGGGTCAGTGTTTGCGGCTAGCTAAGTTATAGTTAAGACAGAAGAAGACCGTCCCCCCCTCCTTGGCCATGTGCCACATTTTGTGTATTAAACAGAATAAATATCACTTTCCTCTATGGTGCCGGGTCTTTATGGATTTAAGCGCACTCCTGGCGACAAGGTCTCATCATCTTACAGTTGAAATGGCAAGATGTAACCGTAAATCCTATGCTAACATTTACTTCACTCGCACTTCTCCCTTGTGGAAATTTTGTTCGGCTTCTTGCTTACCCAGTCAACTTTGATCACCAAAAATGTAAATGCAATATCAATCGCTATCTTTTGTCTTCTTTATTTCTGATTTTTTTTATTGCTCTCTCTCTCTCTCTTTAATAATGTTTTCTTTATTTCGCGTATTCATTCATTTCACGCGTCTGTGAATTTATTGCCTTGCTTGGGATGAAATAATCAAAACAATGTCACGAGGAAAAAGAAAGATGTCTCTAATGAAAGAGAATTCATTAGCCAATATACGATGATCGATGAAAGGTTCTCGATCTGAACAAGAAGGAATTTAACGAAAGGGTTCGATGGATAAATTATCGTCTAAATTACGCAACAATAAAAAAAACCCTGACTTCTCAAACAGATATATTTACCAAAATTACATAAAAATATTTTGAAATACTAAAGAGTAAATTTATTCAATAAAATCGTCATTGGCTTCCATCACGTCTTCCAGACGACTTCGGAATCTCCTGCATCTCTTCTGGGCAGTCTCCATGTTTAAGTTGGTGAAATGCTGCCATAATCCTTGCTTACAGTTCATTTTTGGTGTTACAAGGAGTTATGTTGGTCTCTCACTCAACTGCGCACCACACATAATAATCAAGAGGGTTGCAGTCTGGGGAGTTAGATGCCCAGAAGTTTTGGGTGATATGGTCGCAAAAATTGTCTGACAGCCATGACTGGGTTCTTCTGCTTGTGTAGAATGGTGTAGAGTCCTGCTGACAGACATAGGGCCTTTTAGCAGACACCCTCTTGACTCGGGGCAGCACTACCACCTGCAGGTACTTGATGTAAGCCTCCGTGTTGAGTCTGAAGCCTGGTGAGAAGATGAATGGGGGCATAACGTCGCCATCGCTAGTAATCGCTCCAAACACCATGATGTTGATTGGATATATCATCCAAGTTTTTCCGAATCCTTTGAACTGTCCTCAGATTCGACACCCAAACACTCTGAGATGTTTGTATTGGAGCTTCCGGTGCGAATTCCAAGCAATACAGCATGTCGTATCCAAATTTTGGGCGAAATAAATTGCGTCATAATGCTCTTTTCTCGCAGAGGGTATTCAATTGACCCTGCTATGAGGTGCACTCGATAAAATAAGAAAAAAATAATAAAGAAAGCGCATACAAAAAATTAAAAATATGAAATGGCGACAATTTGCTGATCACCCCATGCATATGCAGGGCAAGGTAGAGAGTGAGAGAGAAGGAAGAAGGAAATAAATTTAGAAAAGAGATTAGAAATAAAAGGAAAGAGTATACTTAATATGAAAGAGGAGAAATGATTAGGGGTAAAGTAAAGAGAAAAATATTGAACAGGGGGACATAGAGAAAGATAGAGAGACAAAGAGAGAGATAGATAGAGAGATAAAGATAGAAAGAGGGAGAGAATGAAATTAAGAGTGAGAAAGCAAGAGAGAAAAAGATGTGGAGAGAGGAGATTAATAGAAAGAGATGAAAAGAAACCAAGTGAATAGGAAGGTCTAACACCCCGCCCGGGTGAAACAAAGCAAAATGTCTGAGCATATTTGATTTGTAATTTGAAGGAAATAGAATTGAAATGAAAAGGGAGAGTTACTATAATCAAGAAAATAAAACAAAATTTACATAAACAATGTACGAAAAATTTAATAACATTGATTTTAAAGTTGTAATTTCCAATATTATCAGCATTATTTTCTCCCAATGACCAAAGTTAACATGTACGATTGTCATCTACGATCTTCAACAAAGTAATGAAGAGTAAAGTGTATATGAATAAAAAATATCCCAGAATACGAAAGTAATCGTATTTCTTTCGCTGACGCAACATAATCACAATAGTAAATATATTAATTATATATTTAGTTTATAATACAATGGTTGCGGAGAATACATGAATTCATTCATCCTTTTTCCAATGACATAATACAACGGGGGGAATATAAATTCAGTTCTCCGATTCCATCTATTGCGGCGACAACCCTTAGGCTACTCCAACTGGTATTATATTAACGTTGCTAATCTATACTAATATCCTATTCATTTATAGTTACGATCTAACCCTGTCGACTATTTGTGTGTGTAGCTAGTTCTCAACCCATTTGGTGCTCGAATATTGTGGCCTTCAGTGAATCTAAACAAAAAACTAAAAATATTTTAGTTAAAGGTAATCACACTATTGACAGTTTACAAAATTGTTTGGTAAAGCAATTCATTAGTGTAGTTTGTTTTATCCTCATTAAGCGCTCTATTATGGTGGCCTTTTGCCAAGCTAAGCTAAACTTAATAAATGACATTTCTATTCTGAATGCCTGAATTGTGTTATGAGTTTATTTTTTTACCTCGAATTCCATTGCTGTGACCTTTTGTCGGTTTTTTACTTATTAAATATTTTACTTAGGCTGCTTATTATAGTGTAATGGATTTGGAAGTTCGTTCAGGCTTCCGGTTTGCCAGGGTAGGGAGTTCGATAGGCGGTTAGCGTAATGGATACTTGTGCAGAAAGTGGAATCGGCGAACCGAGTTCAAATTTCGGCCTAGTTTACTGCGTTCACTTTCTCACAAATACTCTTAGGAAAGGCATGAATTTATCTCTTCTTCCCCGGATCAACTGTAGGTTAAACAACAGCGTATACCGTGATTTCTAGCCTTCGTTGGTAACCAGTCTAAGAGGAGGAAAACTCAGAATTTCAAATCGTAGAGAAAGCAACGGTTACCACTTCATTATCTTTTTAAAGAGTGCATGGCATTTCACAGATGGTAAGGAAAGGAATCTGTGGAGAGTAATAATCGTATGCATTTTAAATGGACGTCACATTTTTATGAGTTCAAGGTTAACTTGATGTTCTCGTAATATCTGCTTACACTAGACTTGACTAATCTTTGTAAATAAGCAATATCTATTTCTGTTCTGTTGTGCAGGGATTAAAGAACTCGGTGCTTTATGAGGATTTTTTTTTAAACCAATAACCAATACTGTTTTATGTAAATGTTTCCAAAGCACGAGGTGAAAGTAAGATTGTGTTTCGTCAATTTTCGATTTGAGAGGACATACTTTAATCTGGAAACTGGGCATAGAATAGGCTGTACCAGAGACAGTTTCGCCCAAGTTGCTTCAAAACCAAAACATCAATGTGAAAACTCGAATTACGATCGAGATTTTCATATGAATGTCACGTATGGTGCCATATCCGTTCAGAAATATTTAAGCTGTCAGCTGTATACAACAGCTTTCTAAAATCAATGGTTAAAAAAGACTTTGAGCGAGTGACGCTTGAGGGTCTTGGAAAAATCATCCTTTTCTTAACATTGTAGGGTGGCACTAAACATTTTCTCCTTTCTGGTCTTATATTTGCGAATGAATTGTATGAATGCTTGCAATCTTTCATTGTTTGTGCACATCTTAGAATTTCGATTGACGTTTAACATTCTAATAGCTAAAGATACTTTAGCTGATACTTTACACGGAACTTGGGTATAGTATTTTTACTTTGACTAATCTTCACTTAATACAAGGCTCAAAAGACACTCAAGGTAGAGGGTTACTGGATGATGTTGTATGAACTTAAGGAGATGAGGTAAGAAATGCAGGTTATGAGGTTATATAGGAGACATAACGGTTAAATCGAGACTTGAAGAGGTGGAGATTGCAGTGTTTAGAAAACATCCTGTTGGGATTCTGTTTCATAATGTAGCAGTTCGTGTATCCGAATGGAACTTCCTTCTTATTACTGAAAATGAGGATGATTCTTTCCCTTATACATGGCATAGAGGGTCTTAACCGCAAAGGTCAAGACTAGTGGAACTAAGGAATGGGGCTCATTAGAAAATTTTCTATGGAAATAACGATAGAGTAGCGTGAGGCTTGCGACGTTCCGTCTGTGGGAAAGAGTTTAGGGTGGAAATAATTCATCACCCACAAGGTCGACTAGACGCTTTTGATCTCTATCAAGACAGGCAAATAACGACTGAGTAACTCCAACTCAACGAACATTATTATTCAATACTGTCTAACCAATGAACACATTCAGACCAGATTTAACATACTAACGAATTCATATGAGAATATGTTTCTGTCTTAATTATTAGCGACTATAAGGCTTTATTTATCAATCAGCACTCATATTATAATATTATGATTCTAAAAATCCTTTTTATAATAATTTCATCCCATGGCAATAAAGCCACTAAGACGCAAGTTGGTTAATGAGTGTTAGAGAATATGAGAAAAAACACTCTTAAAGAGAGATAACATTAAAAGTACAAAAATTAAGAAGACAGTAGATAACGATTGACATTGCATTTAAATTTTTATGATCAAAGTTGACTGAGAAGCATGAAGCCAGAAACTGTTAGTATAGAACTTCCGGGTACATCTAACCTTTTCAATTGTAAAATGATGAAACCTAGCTACCAATCTAGTACTGCGTTTGGAATCATAAAGTCGACGTACCATAGAGGAAAGTTCATCAGAACAATTACCATGAAAGTATTTCTAGAAAAGACTCAGGGAAGCTATATTATGGCGGTGGGAAAGTGACTGACTAATCGTAATGAAAACAACATATGTTTCATTTTTAGCCTTCAATAGCGACAATATTTATTGTGAACAAAAATAATTTGCAATTATTTTGTTTTGCCTAGCTCTAAAACCGTTTTGCAGTAATGTGGTTCTACGAAATACAAAATTGTCCGTGGTTTAGTAATTAGAATAGAACAGAAAAGTCTTGAAGTACAGAAAGTCGTAAGCAAGTCGTAGATATGTAAGACGCATTCATGAATCCTTAGGTAGTGAGGACCATGCCACAAACTCATCACTGCTTACATCTTGACAACAGACAGTTATTACACATATTATACTCTTACAATTGGTGCTACACATATTTGTAATATAAACATGAATAATTGTATGAATAACAGCTTTTGCTAACAGCTTCTAAAATCGAATAATATCTTTATAGCTATAATGCTCAGTAGGTTTGCCGTGGCACACCGGTGTGCTGTGAGAGGATCGTAAGTGTGCCACGAATATTTTTAAAGGTCATTAATTAAATTATTTTCTAAAGAAGTCCAAAGCGCAATAAGTGAGCATATCAAAATTAAAACTCTTGTAAGTAGACTACATAGGTATATCATTGTGATAATAAATAAACGTATATATAATATATAAAGTGGATGGAGTGTATGAAATGACACTTTCATAGATATGTACGATTTGACACAAACTTGCACTCTAATTGATTCCGGTAATGATTCAGAACTCTCTAATTGTGCACGTACTTATTGCATACACTTTCTGAAAATAAAATATTTTCCTGCACTTACACTTGACTTAAGAAATCTGGATCGGATGAGAAATTCTTTTGTTTTATGTGCGCTTATGTTAGCAAATTTAAATATTACAAAAAAAGAAGAAAAAAAAAAAACAGAAATAAGAAATGACAGAGGCTTGCAAGTAAAATATTCAACAACAGATGTTACAACATTTTGGTTATCCCTTAAGGGTGAATTTCTAAATATTACAAAAAAGCAATATAAATACTTTTCTCGTCTTCAACGTCATTTTTGTGCGAAGCAATATTTTCTAAAATAAAGTTTTGTTTAGGAATTTTAATTATTATTTTTTTTATTGCAAATTACAATTTGAAATAAAAAGATAATAATTAAAATCGTTTGTTTGTGTTAATAAATAAATCATAAATGTACACTCTTTTTTTACACTTTTATTGATCACCATAATTTAAGTGTGCCTCGGTAGTTTAACTATAGGTTCAAAAGCGATGTGATAGTAAAAAAACAAAAAACATTGCTTTATAGGAATGTTTAATAGTGTAAAAATATTTTTGTAATTAAATAACAAAAAAAAAATTGTAAACTTAGACATTAAATACTTTTTAAAGCAAAACAAAGCAATACAAAACTTTTCTTATAATAAAAGATGTCGGAATGATTTTATCAATAGTACCAACGAGGGGAATAATAAAATGGCCACCTAGACAATTCACAAATAACTCGGTATCTATGATGATGACACGCGTATTTACTTTTGTCTTAATGGTAAGTCTGATCGGTTCGGTAAGATCAAATTGGCAGCTGAGCTCCAAAATGACCTATAATCTGTTGTTAACTGAAGCAAGAAATGGCTTGTTAATTTTATTGCCTCCAGAACAAAACTGCTCTATTTTGATTGTCTGAGAGAACCTTTTTTTGCCTTTCATCAGCTTAGATGATGCTAACATTCAGGAGTTGACTCATTACGAATTCTCGTCTCGATAGTGGAAAGATTATATTGAATCAATTGTTAGGTCTGCTGCTAGGAAAGTTGGTTCATGCTAGACAATTTTTCCCGCCCGAATTTATCTTCAGTCAGTGAAGTGCCATACGTGATACACGATTGGCCAATCATGTATCTTTCGATACATGAGTGACGAGGCAGTAGATTGCCATTTTGTTCTGCACTAAAGGCTAAAGAACCTAGTTTGTCCTGCTATTCAACCCATATCTGGGAGGAAGAGATGGATTCATACCTTTCCCAAGGGTATTTCTGCGTAATCAACGAACTCAACTGGAATTCGAACACAGCTCTCCGAGTTCTCACTCCGAGTCGATATCCATTACACGACATGTCTATCATTTATTCATCCACTGAATATTGCTGTCACATCTGGTTTGGTGCTTCCTTGCATCTAGAATGTATTTAAACCTCCTACTGGATTGACGGATATTAATGCCAACAGTTTCTTTCCTTTGCAACTGTCCATTGTGGAACTCTTTTCCGGCTTCTTGTTTTCCAGACAACTTCAAAAATTGAAATGTAATGTCAATTGTTCT